CCTCTTGAAGCTGTGATGTGCTCCATGTGACCGTACTCTATTGCCGCCACGGGGGACAAAACCAGGTGATGAGAGGTATGTATATCCCTTAGGTAGTATACTTAATCCATCACTAATACAGAATATAGCAGTTTCTAGAGCCGGGTCGCGAGATCGATCTAGACTAGAAGAGACTCCACGTGCTTCCGCGTTCGGTTTAGCTTACGTGTATGCCAGCCACCTAATAATCCCCATCGTCATTTTTTGTCTCAAAAAAATGTGATCTTATTTTTGGTTTAAGTGACAGCCAGCCATTTACGTATTGATGAGAAACTGACATAAGTACATATAATTTTACAATTGACATACTATGATAGTATCATCAATAGCTCCCACTCCGAGTAACAACAATTGAGGAGGAAACAAACCTAAATACGCGCTTGGACGCTAATAAAAACGGGGTTGCAGTGCACCTAGCAGCACCTACCCAGGTATGGTAAAGTAGTAGGCGGGTAGTTAAGCAGTCCCGCAGATGAAGTGGGACAAAAATATCAACATCACCAGCTTTGAATCAACATGGGCACTGTAATTAACAATGTGCTCTCCCCACCACGCCACCACGAGCACTTTCCCTTCCCCCTCTTACCCTTGCCATCTCATGTTGCCCTAAATAATTATCCCGACTTGCTTCTCCGTCCTTCGCTACATCCTCGAATTGGTATTCAGTCGCGATACGCCATCGTGACCGAGACTTGGGCTTCCTCCATCCAACTAACATAAAGTAGAAGCCTCCCTATTCTATTCTTCTCAAGCTATAGCATTAGTATATTTCTGTCGAATACGGACCTATCTCTTCTTGGGTAATCAATTATATTTATCCACCTCTATTATTACCGCACCATCGCTCGCTCACTGCCTGCTCTACCCTACATCTATCGATCGAATCCTCGTCTTCTTTAGCAATCCCGCGTAGCCACCCCGGCGACATCCCTCGCGCGCGCAATGGCTGTGCAGGGCGGAGGGAGAGAGGATGTGTATGCTACAGTTCGTCCATCACCGCTGCTATACCGCGGCCTACTCGCGCCGGCATAGGATCTAACCGCTTGCCCCCCTAGCTCCTATTGACAGACACATACTTGCCTGGTAGGGTCTCCAGCCCCAATTGATTGATATGGTATATATATAACAACTCCTAACACCGCGTATCAAGGTGCGCTGGTCCTAGCCCACTCCCTGCGCGATGCCTCCACCACGAAGAAGCTAGCCGCGCTGGTCACCCTCGACAGCGTATCCGCCGAGGCTATCACCCAACTCAAGGTGAGCTACACCACGACCATGAAAACGAGGAGGCGCCTGGATCGCACGCTGACGCGATTTGCCAGTCTGTCTATGACTATGTCATTCCCGTGCCTCGAATTCGCAATGCCCAGCCAGCCAATCTACTGTTAATGAACCGAACCGACCTACACTCTGCCTTTACCAAGATCAACTTATGGAGCCAAACCCAATTTCGCAAGATCGTCTATATAGACGCCGATGTCGTCGCTTACCGAGCCCCCGACGAGCTCTTCAACATCCCACACCCTTTCTCGGCGGCCCCCGACATCGGGTGGCCCGATCTGTTCAACACGGGTGTCATGGTTCTGTCCCCGAACATGGGCGACTATTACGCCATGATGGCCATGGCCGAGAGGGGAATATCGTTCGACGGAGCCGACCAAGGCCTTATAAACACCCATTTTCGTAACAATTACAACCGTATAAGCTTCACTTACAATGTGACCCCGTCTGCCCACTACCAGTACATCCCAGCCTATCGCCATTTCCAGTCCAGTATCAACATGGTGCACTTCATTGGTTCAGACAAGCCGTGGTTTCAAGGACGGCATGCGAGCACCGGGAGCTCGCCGTTCGATGAGATGACGGGCAGATGGTGGGCAGTCTATGATCGGCATTACCGGGTGGCGGTAAGTCGCCTTCTACGCTCTCTGGCCATACGTTGGATACTCTACTTACTCTTTTCAAGTCACCACAACCCCCGCACCAAGCATCTACCCAGCCTGCTGGTACCGTGACGGCTAGAAAGCAAGCCCCAGAACTCGTGCAATATCTAACCAAGGGAGAATACCAGCCAAAAAGTTCGCATATAGAGCCATTCAGTAAGCATCCTAGCGACACGCATCATGGCCATGAGCATCATGATTATCAAGCAACGACTCAATATCAAATACAAATCGATCAGCCCGGTCACCAACCTTCTCACCAACCAGAATACCAGACTACCCCTCATCATGGCCCTTCTAGCACTGCAATGCACACCGAGAACCTACAACACCAGGATGTTCAAGACCACCAACCACCTTCATCTGAAGCCAACATCCAGCACTCTGAGCCCTCTAGTATTGTTTCTAGCGATGTGATTTCGTCCTCAAGCAATTATGATGATACTCGAGCTGAAACTGGCCAAGAGCAGATTCAAGCTCAGGGGTCGTCTGTACCCCCTCCGGAGCCAGAGCAGGACCCTCCGCCGTTCCAGCCCCCTATGTCGAGCTGGGACGCGCAAAGGTTAGTTTTGTCCCGTCTGTCAGACGGAACATAACATATCAGCCGCTAACACCACGACAGACATCCGCCGCCAGCTGAATCGAAGCCGGAGGCCATGAATTTCCCTGCTACCACATATGAAATGTCGAAAAGTACAGCCCCCTTTATCGCCCCTCAGCAGTACCCCCGTCCTCCGAAGGACATGTGGTACGAGGTTCCGAAGACGGCCCCAGCTGCTCCCTCGGACCCGCTAAAGCCCATCTTTCCTTGGGAGGCAAATCGACCCAAGCCGTCTCGTATATTTGTCGACGAGGAGACGAAGGTTGTTCAAGAGCCGGAGACGCACGACCTAGGCGTGCCTTCTGGTGGGCCACAACCCGAACCCGAAACGCAACCATCAGCTGAGTCTTCTGTGATAGAAGCTTCTACAGTGGAACAAGGGAGCCAGCCTGTGACGCCTACCACCCCAACTATCCAAATTACCCCGTCGGATCCATGGACTACGTACACGCGGACTAATGCATGGGATGATGTACCCGAGATCGAACGGTACGTCGATTCCATGCAGAAGCACCGAAGGTCGATGAGTCTTAAGTCTCTCGGCGTAATTAGATTACCTAGTCCCGGTGAAGGCGCAGAAGTCGCATGGCGAAGGCGAGGTAGTAAGGTTACCGACTTCCCAAGTGAAGCTGAGCGCCCTAGCCTGCCCGTTACTCCCGCGCCTATCAATCGACCGAACTTTTGGGGTGGTGGCCCGAACGTCGGCGAGGGCAACAATGACTCGGTACTGCCCTCAGCAGTGGGCGTCCCCGGTCAGGGCGATTGGGTATGTCTGCATGGACGATGGTGGACGCGTGCTGACTGTCGCTGCGACATTCGCTAACATCCTGCCATAAGGATCCTATAGCACAGCTTGAAAAGTTGGCTCAACAACATAGCGATGAACTTTTAAAAAAGCTGGGGGGCGAGGGCCAAGGCAGTAGCCATCCGCCACCTAAGCTTTCACCTCTTGACACCGAGAAGTTGGTATCGCCAACTTATGTAACACAATCAACTCAAGTACTGAGCCCACAGCCGGTAAAAGGAAATGTGAGCTCTAGCTCCGCACTCAATCCTGCGCTAGAGTTGGAAACCGCTGTTCGGTTAGCTCCCTCGCTTACGGAGGAAGGTGTCCCAAACGCATCAGTTTCTACGGATGAAGGATCAAATTCGGACTCAGGGAATTCGATACCCATGGATTCAAGCCAGCACCCTGAGGGATTACACCATTTGGGAGATACTTTTACTTGATATTACTAATATTACCTCAGGTAGTGCATTATTCACCCTCCAAACGGGGCAAGCCAAGATGCGAATTGCATGGTGTACAAAAGAATGTACAGGCGTTGGCTTCGACATTGATTACATATGCAACGAGCGCTACGAAGAGCGAGACGAGATACGGGGAGCTGTTGAGAAACCAAGCAGGCACTGTATCTCTATATTTCATTGTTATTCTGCACTCATTCTGGAAACAGGTTCTGGATGAACTCGCACCAGGCAAGCTATCAACAGGAGCATTGATATTTCTGCCAGTGCTCTAGGCTTTTATACCATTATTATAAGCCATGATTCTTACTCCCACATTATCCTCACAGCCAGTCATCTCTGTACTATTTTCTACCGGTCGCATTTTCAGGAGCTGATTTGTCTTATGACTGATTAGCATACATTGCAGCGAGAGGCGCGAGTGTCTCACATGATGGGGGTATCGTGTTTAAATGTACGTCGGTCGACAATGCAAGCGAATGGTTCATACTATTCCCACCTTGTTTTTGAGTTTGTCTATCTATCTCATATAGCGGGCTTGACCACTTATTTGTATAATATATATATATATATATATGCCTATGTTCGCAACCCTGGTTCTATGCCTGTCCTCGTAGTACCCCAAAGATGGCAATTCGGCGTGTGGGTGCCGTAACCACATCGCCAGGTTTGAATAGGGATGTTTACCCCCCTGGTTACAAGGCCAGTGAGAGCTTGTGAATAACTCTGCCGGACAGAGGTTTTATAACGCGCTCTTACTCCAGCCTTACATGTGAAGCTGTGTGAAATTGCCCTTTTACGTGTGTAGCCCGCAGTTGTTTTATGATTGATGTGTTTCTAATTATCTAGCCTACATAGTAAGGAGTAACAATCCCCCACCAAGCACTACAGTACCGTCTTCCTCCTCCCTGCTGTCGAGAGGATTGATCTCCGTGAACCTCCCCTACGTGATCCGTAAAGGCAATACCATTTTTGAAGTTATTAGGCATGGAGATCTCCTATATCTCGGTTGATCAATATTGTGATATTGTCTCTGCTCATTTACTATTAGGTAGTAATAGATGTATGTATGTGTGTGCTTCTATATATCTGCCTCAAAAAATAAAACACAAAAATAAGGATTAAAAAGATTAAATCTTAACAGAATTATCTGCTAGATGTTGTCACGCTGACCTCGCTGGGGGTCGAACCCAGAATCTCCTGATCACCCGAAAGAATCCGTTTACTGAACTCTCCGTCGTAGTCAGACGCCTTGCCATTGGGCCACGAGGCCGTGCTTTGTGATTGGTTGTGTAGACGGAATTGTAAAAGGTATTAAAAAGAGATAGGGTTGAAAAAGTTTTGTGTGTGCGGGAAAAGGTGGGCCAATTCTTGCGCTATGATAGTAGGCAGGGCTTTATTTAGACTGGGCCCCTGTTGTTGATAGTTGCAGCGAATGGCACGATTTATATTGGAATAGGTATCTAAATACGATACGGCAGGGAGCAATAAGATAGAAGGGAGATCGCCATGAATAAGCACAACATAGGTATATGACGGTTGCTCGGGTAAGTTGGTTCCATGAGTTAACTTAGCAGCGTACAACAAGTGCCATTATGGCATTATCACATAAATATTAGAGCGAATTCAACGTAAATTCAGCCTTCTTCATTAAATTTTATAGTCAATACTAACATACCACCTAAGCAGAAAGGTGTCTTCTACTATTGCGCTGTTGCGACTATCGACTATAGCATACTCTCGCCTATTCCCTGACGATTCCACGTTCAAGTCCCAGACGGACTCTCGGGATTTATCGCGATATGAGGACATAGTAGTAAAACTTGGGCGCCAATTGGGGCTGGCTCTCTCCTTCTCTCTACCCAGTAACCTCGATCGCTATTTTGCAGCAACGGGCTTTGACTTTGCCATTCGGCGTTTGAACATGCTACGGTGTTTGACTTCCAATTTTGGAAATGGGTTGGGCTCCCATTGGATAGGCAAATTGCAACGGTAGAGGATGCCTAAGATAGCAACTGCCTACTCGTTGATCTGCCGGTAACGATTCTGAACTGTTTCGCTCCTGGGATGAAAGGTAGATTGAGAAAGAGATTAGCCATTTAGATCTTAAATTCATCTTTTTTTTTCATTGCCTTCCTATCAAGCATCATCAATCCTCAAAGGTCAGTGATCCGGACCAGAAGGCCAAACTAGAAGAAAACTTTATACCGTCCGAAGAATCATATGGACCCCGTTACTTCAACATAGAATAAGAATACAATCGGATAGAGAAATAGTAATAGACTTATTTGTTTTTTATATGTTTTTATTTACTTGCTTATATGTAATTTAGTTTATCGTTATATAATTATAAGATCTAAGGACCACTTTCGAGATATAGCATTTTCTTCCAGATCTACCACTGCCTAAGCTTTATGATGGGATGAGTGCTTTTAACTAGGTAGTTCGGTCATCAGGCCTAGTGCCTAAGCTTGTTTAGTTACTTGGGTATTGCCCAGGCGCGCTTTTGCGTGTTTTGTCTCATGCGCCAGAACATCTACACGCAGCCCTGCGTCTCGCTGCCTTAATCGGATTTAATCTTAAGGGAATTTCAGGCTCGTGGTCGACGTATCTACAAATGGTGAGATCGAGATGCTGAACAAGGTGTTTGCGGCCCCGCCTGGGGGGGGGGGGGGGGGGGGGGGGGGGGGGGGGGGTTTGGGGGGGGGGGGGGGGGGGGGGGGGTGGGGGGGGGGGGTGGGGGGGGTGGGGTGGGGGT